GTGGGAGAACTTGCACAATTGGTGGCTGACTAAATACTTTTTTGCCCCACTGTATTTCTTGTTCAAGCTAGTGATGGATAGGACTTACATTTCAACACAATGCTTTGGAGTTGCCCTAGTCCTATCACCTTTATGCCTTCTCTACTGCTGCCAATCTGCACCTAACATTTGGAATATATGTCGGTACCATTAGGGCCTCTGTTGCTGGTCCAGAAGGTGGCCATGTGGTATGGGCACTCCGTGTGAGGCCACTTGAACATCCATCGGACGTAGCATTGGAATCAGTCTTGGGGAAAGAATCTCAGAAAGGGCACAGGCAGGCTAAAAAAAAATACCTGACTAAGATTAATAAATATGGCAGGAATTGGCGGGGTGGGGGGGATGTTATTAAAGATGCTGACACAGTTTGTGCCCTTGGTCCTAACAGGAAGCCCGTACCACGTACCGGAGGATCTTGTCCGAATCTGCCAGGAAGCTCAACACCCAGGGCTCTCAGCTGGGGAACTGCATTGAGAAAGCGCGCCCTTATTACGAAGCCAGACGCTTGGCCAGGGAGGTACGCCTACCGGTGCCTTTCGTGAATGTATCATTTATCCCCTGCTGTTTTAAAACCAGAAGCTTTCCAACTTGGGTTCGGCTTTAGCATTCCTCTACTCATTTTATGACCTCAACTCATAAGACGTTACCTGGATTCAGAAGCTGCTCTTCTGAATTAGGAACCTCTTGAACAAATAACTTGGGGTCCCACAGACCTCCTTTTTGAAGTCATCTGTAGATCACTGTTGTACTTTCACACCAGTATCTGCTGTTTTTGTGTGATGGAATGGCTGGATGAAAGCCGCGCTCAGGGAGATAAGCATTTCCTTAGCCCCCAGCAGGAGCGTGGGGGGGGTAAGAAGATGAGACTGGCACCACCCTAAGGAATTCACGGTGTTTTGGCTGGCTGGCTTGGGAAGTTTAGATGTAGTCTGGAGAGATTGGTGTCAGGTTCAGCCCAAAGAACTCCACAAGACAGTACAAATACAGTTCTGTTGCATTTATTAGCTTCCACCTCAAAGAGAGAATCTCCCCAGACTGAATCTAAACTTCCCAAGCCAGCAAGCCAAAACACCGTGAATTCCTTAGGGTGGTGCCAGTCTCATC